TTACTAGATCCAAATGAAAGTTATGCACCTATATATAGAGTGTGTTTGGTAGAGATTAAAATCAAATTAAAATTGAAAAACTAGCCGTTATTGTTGACTTTTATTAGACGAGTGATACCCAATAACGGCCATATTTTCAATTTTAATTTAATTTTAAGTTAAACCGAACAAGCCCAAAATCTAAATTAAAATAATCAATTCCCGTTTGGTTCAATTAAAATTTAAGTCAAAGTCACTAAAGGTCTATTTGATTACAAATGTAAAATTTGGGTGGAAAGAAAATGAATTATAGGGAATTGAATTGTTTAGAATTTGTTTTACTGGAAATTGTAATTAATTGTGTTTGATTGATATAATTTTTCACCTATAAAATGTTAAAAGTTTGGTGTCCGTTTGACTTCATTTTTCATGAAAATTGTCCATTAAAATGATAATTTCTTTTTACTATTGGGTCTAGAATTTGTTCCCATTGTAAAAAAAAAATTAAATTTTTTTATCATATCGAATACCATCCGTTTGTCTTTGTTTTTCATGAAAATTGTCAATAAAAATGATAAATTTTTTTTACCATTGTTTCTATAATTTTTTCCAATTGTCAAAAAAAAAAAAGAGTAACCTGGAAAATCAATTTCCACCAAATTCCACAAAACCAAGGAATGTGGCACGTGTGAGACAAAAGCAAGAAAATGAATTCCATGAAAAAAAAGGCATCAAACAAACTAAAAGTGTGAAATGAAATTTGGATTCCCTTTTCCATGGAAAAGATTGGTCAATCAAACTGCCCTAATTAATTTTAATTATATATTTCATATGATTCACAATTTTTGAATCATAGATTATATCGTCTTTTATAAAAGAATATTAAAAATTATATTTTTTAACAAAATCAAACGGGAGCTAAATATTTTTAATAGAGGAAATTAAACAAACCTCTTTCTCAATAATAAGAATGGATGATACATTAATTTATGATAGTCGTGAATTTTATAAAATGTATAATTAGAATTAATATTTAATTTTAAATTATTAAATTATAAAGAACTTATAATGTTACTCGTCGTCTCGCCCATGTCCTAACTTTTTTCTGTCATATTCTTACCATAACCTTTCACCGATTAGCACAATTTTCCGAACAAAAATCGATTAGGAAGGCATTAAAAAAACTTATCTATCCCTCAAATTTATAAATAAGCAAAAAAAAATTACAAAATATACTAATTTTAATATTCTTTTTTCTAAGTACGAAAACGAACTTCTTTTTTTTTCTTTTTCTTATTTAAAATTTTGTCGGTGGGTGCAAAAGATTATTTACGGGCAACGGCCCATCAAACGGGATGTTCCATCTGTTGTCCACTGTTCTGGTCCCGTCACTCACACCACGGTCCAATAGTTCAAACAAATCAAATTCGTCAGTTAGCATATGGGTCTCGTGTGTGGACCAGATTTGGCTCAGAGCCGGTGGATCAACGGTTATCGAGCATTCGGGCCAGCAGGACCACGAAGTCAGCGGTCAAAGTTCTGTTTTAAATTTTAATGGACTGATGGACACTGCAATGTCCGTACACTGCGAAGCATGAGATTCTTTTTGGCTATCTTGTCATCACTGACATTTGGGATGTGGTGGCCTGGCGTCATCATTCTGCATTTGATTGATGAATAACTGTCATTCAAAGTTAATAATTGAATTTTTATTTCGTGGATTTTACAAGGATGCAATTGTCTTTTCAAGTAAAGAAAAACCATGCTACAATTTGTTTCAACTAAAAAACATTACACGTAAACTCGAGAGGAATTCTAATCCAATTAAAATTGAAAATATAGTCGTTATTGGGTCTCACTCATCTAATAAAAGTCAACAATAACAACGAGTTTTTCAATTTTAATCCAATTTTAATTTCTACCAAACAAGCTCTAATATTTAAATCAATGTCAATAATTGATTTTAATTATGCCCTTGTATGGTACCCATTATTTAAAAAAAATATATATTTTTCTCTTTTATTTTTAATTATAAGTTCTTCAATAAAATAATATTACACGTAAACTTGAAATTTGTACTTATTTTTTTAACCACATATCTCCATCAAAATACTATTCCAATTTTATTTTATTTTTTAAAAAATGGTGATCGACCAGGGTCTATATATTTTATTGAACTCACAGCTTTGAAGCCGTACATTCCATCATTTTTTATTAAAATTTACTAAAAATTGGATTTTTATCTAATTCAAACAAGGGCGTAAGTACAAAAAATGATTTTAAAGCCAAACGAGGCTGCAAGGCAAATTTGATGAGCAGGCTTTTAAGTTTTAACCAAACAACGAAGGAAACAACTACAAGAGACTATGCAAGGGCCCAATGGGCCACTTCGAGATTTGAAATTCGGACTGGGAGTTGATCTGAGGCCGCGCAAACGTAGACCCCATTACCACAAACTTTGACGTAAGCTCAACCACTTGAACCGACCTTAGATGAGCGCCCTTTCAAAGTACAATGGGAGTCGCCACTCTAGGCCCGTCTCGTTCACCCATTGACCCTGTCTAGGTAAGTATCTTCATCAAGCCCAATAGGTCGAATAACACATTATTTTTTGGACGTGGATTGACCAATCTCTTAAAATTGGATTCTCATCCCCAATAATTTTCAGCAAATTATCATAAGGGAAGATTACGTAACTAAGATGTTAAGTTTCACAAATTTCAAATTTTAAGAGATTAATGTTTAAAATTTCAAATCTCAGACATTTTCAAAATTTATTTATAAAATAATTAATGAAACATGTATTTTATTAATTAAATATACTAAGGTCACAATTCCATATAATTTGGTCACAAATTCCATATAATTGATCGCATATTATTAATTGATCACAAATCACAATTTTTATATGTCACGAATTATTTTACGACCACAATTCAAAAAATTTTTAGATCACAATTTGTTCATCGATTACAAATAAAAAGTTTATACGTCACAATTTATTCATCGGTAACAAATTTATCAATTTAATTAGTCACATATAATATTTCGATCACAGACAGAAATTTTATATGTTACAAATTATTTTACGGCCGCAATTCGAAAATTTTATAAATCACAATTTGTTCATCGATCACGGATAAAAAATTTATATATTATAATTTATTTATCGGCCACAAATCACAAATATTATAAGTCACAATTTAGTAAACAGTCACAAATTGTTAAATTATCGATCACAAATTAAAAAAAAATTAGGTCACGCGTTATTTTTTTGTCACAATTTATCTTTTTAATTGGTCACGTATTGTTTATTGGTCACATATTAAATAATTTAATGGTCACAATCAACCAAATAATTTGTGATCACAACCAACATTTGTGACCATCACCGCACCACTCCCTCTAGCAGCAGCACCACCACTTTTGCTTCCAAAACCACCCCCTCCCCTTGCCGACAGCAACACAACTACATCAAACTAATCAACACATCGTAGAAAAACACCACCACATCGTTACGTCATTCCACCACCATCGAGACAAATCCATCGTCGTCGCCGTCGCCACCAAAACCACATCGCAGAAAAACACCACCACATAGTTTGTACCACTACTTTAAGTATTGACCGATTTGTCAAGCATACAGAAGACACTACACAGGTGACTTGTTTAGGCTCTTTTGGTCGACACCTTTACTAAATTAATGTTTGAAATTTATTATTTGTGGATCTCTTCATAAGTTACATAACGCTTATTGTTGGAATGATGCGACTAAATCGAGTCTTGATTCATATTTCTTCAACCAACATTCGTCCCTTAATTGCTGTCTCAATAAACAAGTACCACTAGTAAGAATAAGATGTGGGCCACGGGCTCTAAACCCTGTTGTGGTGAACGAGTAATAAACATGAAAAACAATGTTTATTTTATCGATTCAACTTATAGATTTACATAACTTGTTCCTGTTCACTATACAATATTCAATAGAATCCGACAAAACGAGTGATAAAATTTTACTTATTTCTCGTGTAATGTTGTTGGAACGATGCAAGCCAAACTTGGTCTCGGTTCATATAACTGCAATCAACAGGTGTAGGCTACGAGCTCTAAATCCAAAGGCATTGTTGTCAAAATCATTGATGCATTCTCTTTCCTAATTCAACTATTTCTGGATGACTTGTTCACCTAAATCTATAATATATTAAATGAATTATTTTTTGAATGATTATATCCCTACTGTAATTCAATTATTTTAATAAAAACTTATTTTTCATTTTTCAATATGTATTTAATTTACAAAATGTAATAAATACTATAATTTATTCTCAATTAATTAATATTCACATTCATTTTAATATTAATTAGAATTTCACGTTCACGTCCATGTTTTTAATTCTCAATTAATTAATAGTCACGTTCATTTAATTAATATTAATTAGAACTTCAAATTCAAGGATACAGTTCATTATTTATGTCCATGTATTTTAATTAACATCTAGTTTCACTTAATTGGAAATTAAATTATATTCATTTAATATAAATGATTTAACATTTATTATAATGTATATATATTCTTTGATATTAATCTAAATTAATTAACATTCACGTTAATTCATGTATCGTATTTATCATTCATCTTATTTATGCATTTAGTTGTAATTCTAATACTCGTATTCAAGTATGCATTTCATTGTTTATGTGCTTGTATAATAATTAACATTTATTTTTAGTTACTTGCATTTATCTTATATTCAGATCAAATGGTAATTAAATGGTCAAATATCATTTTCACGATACTTATAAAATATTTTAAAATAACGTACAATGTGTAGACTCTGACTATTTTAATTAAAAAAACACGAACTTATTCCACATTTTTGGTCGTAGTTGGTACACATTTTTTAAATATTAATACATTAGACTTTGAATTTCACGCACAATTATTTAAACTTGACCGTGCCCGCAGGTTGTCTTCTACATCCAGTTTCAATCTGTCTCTGATCATCCTGCAGTATCCATCGATGGCTACCGTCTGTCATAGCCCAAACTTCTGGGGAATTCTCTCCGAAACCAAGCGCATAATCCGCGCCAACTCCAGTAATTACTTAGCCCTCTCCATCCTCTTCCTCCTCCCTCTCTCTTTTGCCTTCGTCCTCTACCCATTCATATTCTCCTACTCTGCACCAGACCCCACAATCCCATCACCCCAAAAATCCAATCTCGTTATCGCTCTTTACGTTTTCTTCATGTTCCTTTTCTCTATTTTCGCCACCGGCTCAATTACTTACAGCACCGTCCATGGATTCTATGGTAGACCCGTGAATTACCTTTCCTCTATAAAGTCCATCTTGTTCTCGTTTTTTCCTCTCCTTGCGACTTTTATAGCTTATCAGATCGTATTATTTATCATTTTCTATTTCATCTGGCTTGTGGGGGTTGTAGTGTATCAATATTATGAAGGAGTCAAATCGAACTATTCGCTGGCTTTTGTTGTTTGTATGACGATTTTGATTCTGGTGGTGACATTTTACTTGCAAGTGGAGTGGTCGTTGGCGTATGTGGTGGTGGTGGTAGAATCCAAGTGGGGGTTTGAATCCTTCAAGAAAAGCTCACACTTGATTAAGGGGATGAAATGGATCACGATATCATTAATATTGTACTATGCGATTGTAGTAGGGCTTTTAGCTTCTACTGCATATTTCGGTGGCATTAATGGCGGCTCGGGATTCATAATTCAGACACTGTTCGCGATTTTTATGACAGCACAGATGCTACACTGCATTACTGCCTACACAGTGCTGTATATGTATTGCAAGGTTTTACATGGTGAAATGGCATTTGAGATTGCAGAGGAGTCTGCTGCAGCAGATTATATTAGCTTGCCTATTGATGGTGGACAAGTACCTCATGTTGTACCACATTGATACAATCTCCAGGTAAGGAGGGCTGAGAATTTAATTAATCATACACAGTGAAAAATAAAACAGATTTCATCTGCTTTGTGTTTAGATATCAATTGTAATAGAAAATGTACCTTTGTTGAATTCTGCGAACTCTTTTGTTTATTTTGAACACGAACAATCACGATTTGCAATTCACATCTATCCAATTATCCAGCTTCCGATAAAAATCCACACAGAGAACAAGAATGAGAAAATTATGATTTCTTTTTTCTTGTATTAGCAAGAATATGAATCGTGTTCCGTTATGATTTTTCAAACCCTAGTAGTCTATTAATAAAACTTCAAATAGGCTTAGCTCATCTTTTAAACTTAATCTGATCCAATATTTAATTAACCCAATTAATTAAATTTGGTCCATTAATTAATTAATTCGAGCATATTAACAAGCACCCCAATTAATTAATTGTCAAATACTTGTTAATTAATTAATTGGTGAATTTCATGTTTCTAGTTCTTCTTTTGTGTATGATCCATTATGTTCTCAATAACGATATCTAACGACGTGAATTATTATTTGAATCAAAATCGTTAAATCAAAATACTCCATTTTGATTTATCACCAATTCAAATTTGTCATCCCAAATTGACATCTAGCATTGTGTCAGACAGATGTGGATATGTGTCAATCTCAATTATCGATGATACTTTCATCCCACTATTACGTCAATATAAGTCGAAAACTATTTTCTGACTTATTAGTAAACCTTAGCCAAGGATTTCGTTATCAACTTAATTGAATGAAATGTATATCATAATCCCTTACTATCTAAGAGTGACAAATCATCTATTGATCATTCACAACCTTCATATGAATCTTGACATATTCGAACGATGTTGTCTTAACGATTTTTTACGGAGTAACGTTAGACATTAGCAAAGTATGACCGTCCTCATATAAGGTATTATGATGACCTCAAGTCGAAGGACCAATTCCACTACTGAACGTTAGAGATTAACAATAGTCACTCAAATGGTTATCTATGTGGAATCTCCCCGCAGGTCTCTAATATTTTGTTCTATAACAAAACATTCACGTGTTCATTTAAATGTCACCACACTTTAGCCTGTAAAATCAACTACTCATTTCAAAAGTAAGAAATACTACACGTAATGATCTAATATTGTAATAATGATATCGGTATCTTGTTATTACTTACGACTATGGATAATTCAAGATTCAGCCATTTGCAATTTGCATTTTCCAATCATAACTATTTGTGATTAACGAGTTACTAAGATTTGAATCTTCAAATTCTATTATTTAATTTATTAGAATATTAACTCAATTAAAAAACTTATATATCCCTCAAAATTATAAATAAGCAAAAAAAATTACAAAAAAATGACAAAATATACTTGTCCCTCATTACAAAGAACACTAAGGGCGTGTTTGATAGGCTATATTTTCCAGGGAAGTAGGAAAATATTTTCCATTATCCATCTTTTGAGCTGTTTGATAGCCTAAATTTTCCCCGGAAAATATTTTACACACCCA